TTTGTTTCAGGATGCTGTATATATTATTTTCAATGTTATAAGATGAAAAAGATGGGGAATCACCAACCTACAAAGATATCAAGAATGAGAAGTTCTGAGAACTTCATTGGAAGACGGGGAGACCAGAAGGTCTGTTGGTTATGTAGCAAGGAAGTATGTTCCATAAGAGCGGGAGGACTTATGAGGAGGAAGGAGCAATGATGTCAAAGTGGCACTAAGGAACAAGAATAACCATTACCTTCTGGACTACTCGCCCATGGGCTGTCCTTCCTTTCCAACTACTTGGTTGAATATTACTTAGCATAAATGGAAATGTGGGAAACTGCTACCTTAATAGCTTGGGATCAGGTTCTGAATAACACTGAATTATTTGATGGGCAGTGGGAACTGCTGAAAGTGTGAGTGGTATAATGGGTGAGCCCTGGACTTAAGAACAGCAATCTTTACACTTTGGAAGAGGCTCACTTGTTGGAGGGGAGACTTAAGCAATTGTCTCAATTTGTACCCATGGGATTTTATAGAGTTGACAGTAATGACATGAAGAGGTTGCCACCTCTCCATTCAAAGATTTACTTATCATGCTGCCTTATCCTTTCCTGATTCTTCTGTTTGGGGTTAAATTTCTTGGATCTGTTACATTTAACTGGAAAAATCCCAATCATTATTTCTTTAATTTCCCAATTATTCCTTTCCAATTATACATATATTGGACCATTTGATGCCTCAAAGCTCATTGAGGTTTAATTTATTATTCAGTCTTTGTTTAGTTTTGGGTAGTTTTCATTGCTGGGTTTTTTTTCCCCCCCAATGTCTAATCTACCACTAATCCCATTAAATGCATGTTTCATTATAGGTATTTCAATCTCTAGAACTTTATTTGGATCTTATAACTTTAATTTCTTCCATCATTGTGTTCATATATTCTCAAACATATAGGGCTTATATGTAATAGCTGTTTGATATCCTTATCTGCAAATTCTGTTATTCATGTCACTGAATCTATTTGGTGATTCTTTCCCCACCCAGTTGTCATTTCTTATTTTTCAGCATACCTGGTAACTTTTGGTTGGATGCTAGACATGGTGAATTTTATGGTTTGGGGTACTGGGTTTTATTTTTTCCTTTAAATATTTTTATGCTTTGTTCTGGGCACAGTTACTTAGAATCACATTGGTCCTTTTGAGGCTCACTTTGAATCTCAGTCACCTCTAAAATCCCATTGAAACAATCATTTCTTGAGGTTCCCTTCCTCCAAACAAACCTTTCCCAAACTGAGATTACTGTTAAATGCTTATCAACTCTGCTGCTCAGACTTAGAGTAGTGTTCCATTCATCAAATAATGCCAAATCACTTCATCACAGATTTCAGTTTCCCAGAACCTGGCCTCAAATTGTTCCTATTGCATTTCCCCACAATTCTATTTACATTTTCTTCAACACCAGGCTACTCATGGTTCCTATCTACATTTCCCCCCATGTTTCTTTCCTCTACACCTTTGCTGACACTGAGGAGCATTTTTTTGAAAACAGTTATCCACTACCATATCACTTTAAAACCTTTCTGGTGTCAAATAAGAAAATGTCAGCCTCTCTAGAAAACCTTTCTTGCTTTTTCAACCATTGAGTATCATACTCGTTTCCCCTCTCATGGGCCAGTTTTTTTTTTTTTTTTTTAATCATCTCACCACTCTTCAATAGGTCTTATCTTTCTCATTAAATTATAAGCATCTTGATAAAGACCATGTCTTGCTACTACATCACCTCTTGGCATAATTGGTATTCTGGAAGTTAGTGAGTGAATGAATTCTGGAAGGTTGTATATACATGGATAGATGGATTGATGGGTAGTGAGGTAGAAGGATACATGAGAAGAGCACATATTTCTTATTAGGGCAGTGAAATGGTGATTTTAAAAATAACCAAATGCTTTGGGAAATTTGGGGAACGATCTGGGAAAGTCTTCCGAGATAAGGACTCCACTGCCAGCACCACCACTATCACTGCTTCAGCAGTCTCTTTAAGCCCTCTATGGTTTTGAACCAGGATGGGAAGGAGCATGGGTCTTATAGGTTGAAGATGTACATCACCACAGTGCTGTTTTTCTGGGGTAATGGGACCTGATTGGTTGTAGGAGACAAAGTGACTGGCCTCACTTCTTGTCAGCAGCTCCACTGTACCCAGATGGCTCTGACAGACCTAGCAAAAATGGATGCTGACCACACTCTACCCTACCCAAGTGCCCCTGTTGAGCCAGGTGATGCCAGCTGGCCCTCCTCTCCGGACATAAGCTTGGAGAAACCCTGTCCAGGGCATTAAGCACTGGAAGGAAAGTGGTTAAGGGAGGTTTTACTGCTAACGCAAATGAAATTTATTTCATACAGTCAAGTGAGACACTTGGCTCTCTAGCTCAGGGGCTAAATTCAGTAGATTTTACACCAGCAAGAAACTTGATATACAAATGCTGATTCTATAGTTCTTGGAATTCAGACAATGGGTCAGACTTTTGTCACTACACAGTGTCCTAGGTGGACCAGTAGAAACTGTCTTTATTATTCTCTCTGCCACTTTCTCCAAAGCCCTGCTTTGGGAGGTTACAACCAGCCCAGTGCAGCCAGAGAGGCTGGAGTGGCCCCCCATGTTCTAAGCATGGCTAAGGCCATCATCAGTACCTTCCCCGAGGCACAGAGAAGAAAATCAGAAGGTGGCAGTGCAGCAATGCCCAGAGCAAGGGGATTAAGAAAACAGACTTCCAACCCTGTCAGTCTGGACTAGACTCTCAACAGCCCCACTTACCACCTGTGATTTAGCTTATTTTGCCATTTGTAACATGGGGATAAGTGCCTACCTTACAAAGAGGTTGTGAGGACAAGATGAGGTTGTGTGTAAAGTTTTTAGAGCATTAGACAGCAATCAGTACACACAGGTTATGGATGATGCTTTTGCTTCCAGGGCTATAGTCCAGTCTTTCCCAAAGATAAATCTTCATGACTCTTTGAGCCTTTGCTATACAGCACAGCTCAGCTGTCAGCCCTTGCCAGTGCCAAGTGGCTCTTCTCTCAGTTCCATGACCTTCAACATACCTCCTCCCTTTCTGCCTTCCCAACTGCAGTCTAGAAGACCTTGCACAACAAAGCCTGCCATTGTGTCTCTCCAGAAGAAACCTGGAGCAGTTTGCCTGACAAGGTTTCAACATTCAGTACTGTTGTTCAAACAAAAAGATAAATTATTTCTTTAAAACATTAACTCCCCAAAGACACTGAAAATGCAGTAAATTATGTAGAAAATATAATTGTGGTTGTTTCTTACCTATACCTAACAATCTTGAAGCTTCTTACACAGGTCAACCAGCCAAAGTATCCCACACCTTTCCGTGTCACCATGGACACAATAGCAGCTGCTGGGTCCAGGCACAGACATCACCCTGGACCTTCCCAACATTGTCCCACATCTTTCAATTCTAAATTAGCAATCCCCAAATCTTAAAAAAGGGGGAATTATGTTTCCTTCAGAGAAGAATTTATTTTATTCCATTTGAGAAAAGTTAAAGGACACAGATATTCATTTTTTGCCTGGCAAGAGTGATTTTCCAATGGGACTCTTCTTGTGAAGTTAATGGTAACAAATATTAAAGAAATCTGTCTTTCATCAAAACATTTATATGATAACAAGTTTCCTGTATCAAGCCTCACAAGTTAATTTTGTCCTTAAATTATTTTGGTCTATTAAGAAAATATTTAATTTTGAAGCTACTTTAAATGTGCTAAGTGAACACATTGTTTCTTCACACAAACTGAAAGAAATTGGAAACCTATTTGGTGAGTTCTCTTCTGCCACCCTCCCCTCCTCTTACACACGAGATCTCCTAAGCTTAACTCTAGGCCTAAGGTGTCACGTGCCACGACTAGCCCTGAAGCTCAGTGTTGGTGCAGTGTTTTCCTCCCTCTCCACAGACCTTTCAGAGACTAAGCCACCAGCCACCTCGGCCCCCTCCCTACTGTGACACAGCTGACTGACTCACAGGCAGTAGCATGCTCTCACCACCTATCCCTGCTACTTTGATCAGCAAACCTGAGGCCCCTTCCTCCCTCAGGTATCAAGCCTCCTCTTTATGGGCTTTCACAGCCACTTACTGTGGTTTTGTATAAACCCTCTAAGGGACCACATGTTAAAAGGTGTGGTCCTTGGCTTGACACTGGTGGACCAAGCTGGTTTGGGAGGTGATGGACTCTTTACCAGGTAGGGCCTACTGGGGGGAAGTTAACTCACTTGGGATGTGTCCTTGAAGGGGTAGTGGAACCCTGAACCTTCCTCTCTCTCTGCTTTCCAGCTGTCATGAGGTGAAGTTTTCTCTACTAAGAAACAGCAGATTAACCAAACTGAAGCCTCTGAAACCATGCGTCAAAATAAACCATTCCTCCTCAGAAGATGTTTACCTCAGGTATTCTGTTACAGCAAAGAAAACCTTACTAACACACACCTCCAGCCCTGCCATATGTGTCTGGTCTTTAACATTATGAGCCACATGGTACACAGAAGGTTACTCTAACATCACCCAAAGAAAAGAGGACAACTGCCTTCTCATGCTGTGGCTCTAATATTCCTAAGAATGGAGTCAGGAAGTAGCAGAAAGAATCGTGTTTCAGGTGTGCACAGAGACTTAGCAGTGCTAGCCTAATGACTGCTCAGCCTCAGAAGTACATGTACTAGAACTTTGGTGTCTAGCATGCTGCCTTTTTGCCACACGTAAGCCAGCAAGAGCTCCTTCCAAGAATGCTGACTGGAGACCCCACATAGCCATCACCAGGTGGATGCTCATGACTGTGAAACTGGGCAGTGGCTCCCATGTGTTTGGCTTAAGACATGCCTGTGTGTCAGAAAAAACAATTCTAGAAGTATGAAGAACAGAATCGCTGTTTACCCAATAGCATGGCATTTAGGACTTGGAATTTTTTCAATTCTACAAGTGGCACTGCTAACTGAAGAGGCAAACACGAAGCACAGCTTGTTATAATTATTCATTATCACTCTAACACAGGGTGACATGTGGATACTATTCCATAGCCCCTTCGCCAGGGAAACATGGAACTTAGAGCCAGGCCTACTCCCCCCTTCATAGCAGGTGGGAACACAATAGTAAGGCAACCCAAACCAATTGTGGGGCATGCACTGAATGGGTCCCTTGGCCAGGCCATTCCTGCCCCTCTGAGCATATCCATGCACAGACCCATGCAGAACTACTGTGAAAGCACACACAGTCAGTCCACTAAATGCCTTCAAGAAGTGGCCATCAGTCACATGTAAACGTCTCTCTTACACACCTCTCTGGATATGGAGGCTGAGGGTGGTGGTATTTGGGATCCTGCAGCCTTAGGTTAGATGAGGCCATTGCTCAGGATCAGTGCAATAGAGAATACTGTGGTGACTTCTGAAATGCATCCATATATCCCAGGAACCAAAACGTAGCACCTTTAGAATATGGCCAGTGACAGCTGATACATCAAGTCCAACTGCTAAAGCTGGGCTGATTATCCATAAACAACAGCCTACTTCTTTGCCTGAGTGTTCTGACTGGACTGGCTGGCTGAAGAGTTGATGGTGGCCTTCGGAATTTGAAAATCTGGGGCTTAACCTGGAACCACACTCAATGCCATCGAGCCATTATGAACAGCAGTTGTGTTCAGGTTATTAGGGATGTCCTCAGGAGCCTGTATTTTAAAATAGACCAAATAAAACACTGGCAACACAATCCCAATTAGAAGCATGATGAAAACAGCATTCCACCACTGAATCCCACAGTCTGCTCCATCTGTCAGTGTCTTCGGAGGAGCTGGGAGCAGTGGCTGATCAGAGGTCTCTATGCAGTAGCTCTCACTTAGGAAGATCTCTGACTGCGCTGCACGCTCAATATTCTGATCAATCCCTTTAAAGAAATCTGTCAGTTGGCTGGCCTGGGCATCAGCGGCTGTGGTAGCTCTGTCTACATCTGGTAATTCCACAAAGGTCACTGTGGTCTCTGTGGATGGTTCTGGAAGAGGTTTCAGTTCTTTGTGGGTCTCTGTTAGGATCCCATGGTTTTTCACTGGAATCTTAATAGATTTCAAAGCATATAAATCTTGTTCTCTGATGAAGTTGTTGACTTTCTTGATATCTGCGACCTAGGGATGCCATGAAGAGACACATTATAAAATCTATATACCTCCTTAAAACTAATACCCAACCCTTCACCTTTTGGAGTGATGAGCCAAGTCCATCCCAGTTAAGCTGAGGAAGGCTGGGAAACTACACTGCATGCTGAATTAGTTTAGGTAACTTGGGTTGTTCTGTTGTTGGGAGTTTTGTTTGTTTTCTGGTTTTTACTCAGCCTTCATGAATAGCTTAGTAAATCAAATATGCCTATAGACATACAAGTCTGAACAATCTTAAGACAAGTTTTGGAAACAAAATGTGATTAAACAAAATGCTTTTAGGTGAAACACAGTCATGACACTAAAATGAACACTGGAGCTCTTTGTATTTCCTTTAACTTTTGAGGCAACAGTGCCCCCATCCGGAAATCTCGCTCACAGCAGAAGCCAATTAAGTAACTGCCAGACATTAGCAAGCCAAAGCCTCTGCCACCTCTAAGGACACATTCAGAATCTAGTTTATCTGTAATACCTTTTAACTGATGTGCCCTCAAGGACTTTCACAGGAGTACTACAGGGTATATGAACTTATTTTTCAAATAATAAAATTATAGGGCATCTAAACTTATTTTTCAAATATATATTGAAGAGATCTCAATACTTCTTATCATTTGAAATACAGGAAATCAATCTAGTTGGAAGTTATGGACTGATTTTCTATTTCAACTTAAGTGAAAGAACTATGGCTGAGAGTTTTATTAAGTAACACAAAGTTCATAATAAACTCCTCTTGTAATTAAAACCTTAACATTTAAGAAGGGGGAAATGGGAGCTGGGGTTGTAGCTCAGTGGTAGAGTGCTTGCCTAGCATGCATGAGGCACTGTTTCGATACCCGGCACCACATAAAAATAAATAAATAAATAAATAAATAAAAATAAAGGTGTTAAAAAGACCAATTTGGGGGAAAAGCGGGGGAATGTAAGTGAAAAAGTAAATTCGCCCACAAGCTAATGTTTGAAAAATTTCCAAAAGCATGTGAAATGGACTCAAAAGCCCATTTTAACTACTAGTTTTAACTCAAAAGCCCATTTTAACTAGAATGTAAATATAGTCCCCAGACCTTTAGTCAGAAACTCATTCAAATCAATCATGTCAGTGACTGAAATTTTTTAACTGCTTTTGGCATTTCATTGAATCAGATGGGGGAAATTTTTTATTCTGAAATTAATGAAAGTAGGAAATACTTGAGACTTCTTTATTTTTGTTCTCTATTAAACTAACAGCAAATTTATTTACTAAAAATAGTAAAACTGATTAGTTACTGGAGGCATTATATATTATTTATGGAATTATTAGTCATCACTATTCCAACAGGCCTACTTCACCTATGTAGGCCTTTGTAGAGTAGGATTTATTTTTCAGTCCATGTTCTATAAACATACATTATGCCTATACAAGCTGAAGATAAGAGTCAAACAAATGTCAGTACAATTGAAAGATGCTATGTGTCCCTGGAGACCAGCCTGTAGTTCTTTGGAAAAGATCCAAACACCACACACAATCTTTTTAATCATGTGAACCATGTTAGATAAATGACAGATATTTTAAGAGGGATTTTTTTGTTTTGTTTTTTACTAAATAGCTTATATAGCCTTAGAGGTCACAGAAATCTGTAGTACAGTGGTAGCAAAATGAAATGAACAGTTTCAATCTAGGAGAAAATGCCATGATTCTATAAATACTTTTCCTACTTACTTTGCCATTGTTAATCACTCTGAATGCTAAAAACATAATTAAAGAGAAAAACAAGGTTATACAGAATACAAAGCATAGAGGCTAAACCATGCAGTTCTAAAATAGAGAAGGGAAAACTTTACTAGTCAAATAAATTACTGTCAAGAAAAAAAAATCAAAGTAGCAATAAAAGCAAGCATGCTAAAGAAATCTTAGATAACTTCTGCCTGGCGTCTCCAGCCCCCTTAGGTCTTAAATAAGATATGCTCAAAAGAAAAAATAAAGTCTCAGAATTTTAATGGGAAGAGACAGGGCAGAGTCAAACTACTCTGAGAGGCAAATGCACTATGGCCTGAGGTTCCTAACTAACCTCATTTCTGAGCCCAGGGTGCAGAACTAAAGATACTTCTACCAACCTTCCAACTCTGGCTAAAATGGGAGTCCTTGGTTGCTACAATAAGCCTCTGGCCACTTATTAGGGGTCAGCAAGGGTAACAAATAAGTTACTCTATGTTCCTCTAAATACAAGGGGACAAAGTATTTGGCGGGTATCTTACTTTGCAGCCATACTGAAGAGCCAGCTTGTTGAGGTTGTCCTCCTGGGCCAGCTCCCGTTGGAGCAGCACCATGTCACCTGCTCCAGGCTTGTGAGGGTGGTGAACACTGTTCTTCTGGCGTTCCTTGCCCCGTGGCCGTAGAACAACATGTTGAGACTCTTCCTCAGAGGAGTCCCCAGAATCCCCACTGCCATTCTTGAACACATAAATGTGGCTGCTTGGAGTTGTACACACAACAGCTGGGCCTTGTAAGGTCTTGGTTAACATTCCCTTTTGCCTCATTTTAACTGAAAACCAAATCCCAGGGTTAATCCCATATAAGGTATATTCATTCTTCCTTGGTTTCATTAAAGAGAAGTGTCTCATAGCAATGATCCCTTTCCCTGATTATTGCAAATACTGAACAAATACCATCAGTCCAAAACAAGAATGTCCTTATGCTGGCTGAGATGGAAGGACACGGGCAGAATAAAAACATTTTTTCCCCTAATTTCATACTTTTCGTGCAGAAAACAAGAGATTCCCCACACTTCTGCCTTACTCCTTACTGATAACTATATCCTCCCTCGCCCCCCCAAAATCCCACATCTATACACAACTTCAATTTTTGGTCTCACAGTGGTAAAGTGATTGGGATCCTTGCAATGACAGGTAAGATTGTTCTGTTTCCTTGTACTAAGAATCTTAAATTCAGAACCTTGGTACAAAGAATTTTTACTCAATACTTTACACATTCCAAGGTATCTTTACTATAATCAATACAACTAAAGTGCTCTTATTTTGATATTTGGTTAACTTATCTCGTATGTGACTAAGTTGCGGGAAAAGTCTGTCAAACTGAGAGATTCCTCCCATTTCCACAGGTCACTTTGTATTCATTACCTCCCCTTGTCTGCTTGTATTTCCACCTTGAGCCAAGTACCAAAGCCATAATACCCCCTTTTCCTTCTTCAAATCGTTCTAATGAAATTCCAGAAATTACAAATCAAACTCGGAGAATGACGGCCTGCACAGGCGCTGGCATGAAGCCCTTAAGAAGTCATACGGCTGTGGCCCGTTCACGGACTGCCCGGGGCCCAGCGTTACCCCCACCGGGTCGAGGCCCTCCGGTAGGCACCGCCCCAACTCCTTGATGCCGCGGCCACGGGAGGAGAAGGAAGGTTGCTCGAGGTCCGGGCCTTCTCGTCCAAGTACAGGAGCTACAAGAGGGCTCCCACGGCTCTCAGAGCTCAGTTTCCCTTACAGCCCCTTCTGAGAAAGGAGGGGACCAAAACAAAACACCAGCCACACAAAAAAAAGGGACTGCCCTGACCCTGGCTTATAAGGGCGGGACCCCAACATTCTACAAAAGCACAACCTCCAACCTCTGACCTCTCACTCCCGCAATCTGGGACCAGCTCTCTACAGTCACCGCCCCTCCACCTGCCGGAGCTTCCCCCCAGGAAGCCATGGAGTGGCTGCCCGCGCCGGAGCCGACAAGTTAGGCCAGACCACCGCGCCGCTACAAGCTCGCGAGGACTGCATTCGAGACCGCGGCCCCCTCCTCCAGGAACCGGGACCTCGGCTTCTAGCCCCGCCGCGACCCTCCGCGGCCGCCGCGCCCGTCGATTGGCTGCTAGAATAGAGTCTTCCGGGGGCGGGGCAGGAGGAACAACCAGTGAAACCAGTGGTGGGCGGGCACTGGCAGGAACCCAGCGGAGCAGAGAAGTCCTCAGGAGACCTGGTCTGGGGGCTGGCTTAGGGGCGGGTTCCTGGGCCGGGGGCGGGACTCTAGCTTCAGTCTCCCCCGCCCGCCCGACTCTGCTGTACCCAAAGATTGTAAAACACTTTTAATTCTTACTTCGCAATGGTGACAGCCCTCTGCTGAGCCTCAGCTATCTCACTGGTAGGAAGGGGCTTTGACTCGCCTGCGTGGATATCACCTCTGGAGACCTCTCGCGGAAAAGACACGGGCAAGGGGCCTTTCTTCCGCTGCCTTATCTGCAAATCTTGAGCTTTTTAGTGCCCCGCCTCGTTCCTGAGAATAAAAAAGAAAAGTCCATGAGTGTGAAACATTGATTGTAACAACACAGACCAAAATAATAATCATCGTCACCATTATTATCAGGTGTTCCTGGTGGAGGATTTAAGCTTAAAAGTGATGAAAACACTCTCACATGCTAAGCCCCAAATGTTGGAAACTTCTACTCAAAAAAGGAAACCAAAATAAAAAGCGAAAACAGGGAGAAATACATGCAACAAACATGACCAAAGACTAGAAAAATGAAAAGGAATTTGAAGGGCTCTTTCTGGTTTTAGGTAAACAAAGTGGGGGTTCATTGTAACTCTTGTCCAAATCGTATTGAGAAGGGGCTTTCTTTGCAGTAGGCTTGTTTCTAGCACACTGAGAATGGGGGAAATTCTTAACCTTCCCTGTTTTCCAGGAGCACAGGTCTTCTTCCAGACAATGAGATGGGAAAGAGAATGTTGAATGGGATTTCTGAAAAAAGAAAAAAAAAAAAACCTCTTGAAATGGGGACATCTGGAAAAGCTCTTTAAGATGTGTGTTCCTTTTTAACCTTCCTTTTTGTCCAGAATGAAGATATGATGGCTAGGCCACCTGCAGCCCTAATGGAATATGAGATTATACTGAAGATGGAATCCATGTGCTAAGGGTAGCAGAGCAAAAATATGGAAGGTGTGTAAGAGATAAATGCTTTCCATGTTTAAAATATTGTTAAGGGCTTTGTTAGTAGCTGCTGAAAAATTCCTAAGTTACATACTTTGGCACAGAGATTAAGTAAGTTACTCACCCAAGGTGCCATAACTAATGGAGTACAAGAGACAGGATACAAGCCCAGACACCAGTGACCCTTTTCCTTGTGGACTTATAAAAGTATCTGGGAAGGGCTCCTTTCGTTTTGCCTACTGCCCCAGCCCAATGCAAGAACCCTACTAACTTGGTCAACATGTTACTCAGAAACACTCTCATTTTCTCCCCAGGCCATTGACTGGGCTGACTTGAGACATAGTTCCTCAGGCCTGGATGAACCAATGAGAAGTATGCAAGCCAAATGGCTTGTCCACTGAAGTGTGTTGGGGTCTCATTCACAAGGATAGCCCCACTACTGTGACCTAAGTAAGTTGGGACTAAACCTCCACAAGCAGATGTGTCTACTCAGATCCTCCCAAACACTTACCAAACTATCTGCTGTGATCTAGGGAAGGGTATGTCAGGTGAGTTATCCCATTTATCTGCAGCCTTATTTATGGAAGACTCAATTATTCCCAGGACCCAACTGTGGGGAGGTACCAGAAAACAGAAGCCTATTGAATAGGGCAAGCTGTCAAAGGCAGAAGTTAGTTAGGGTCATGGCCCTCCAGACCCACAGGAGAGTGGAAAACCCAGAGCCCTACCCCACATCCTGTGCTCCCTTGGGGGAACCCTCTTGGACTATTCAAGGTTGACTTCCCCAACCCGTCCTGCTCAGAGTCTGAGGCTGTTCTCTCTTCTCCACATGGGTAGGGAACTCAGTTTCCTTTATTGGTTTCCCAGGTCACACCCACCATCCCATCCCTTAGTGTCTGCAGTAACAACACATACAGGTCTTATAGATGCATTTTAACACCTCTACTTGTTCTTCTGAGTAAAACCTCAGCCCCAAATAGCCCTCCTCACCATTTTCTTTCCATTCTCTGTGTAGACAGCAGACTGTGCCCTGCTCTGGGGTACTCTATGATTAATATGATCAGTAGTTTTTAGATTGTGCCCAACCCAGAATTACTCCATTTTTACAAAGCAGAAGTTTGCCATTAGTTACTCAACTTTGAGTTAGTTACTCAACTTTGAGTATAACTACTGAAGTAAATGAACTTTACTTATTTGTGCAACTGAACAACCATTATCTGCCTATTACAACCATAAGGCACAAACCAGTAATTGATCCTATGAACAAAAAATGACCACTTGTTGTCACTGAAAAGCAGGGAGCTGAAACTCTAAACCTCAGTTCTTGTGTTCCAATTAAAGAAAATTTAAAGTCAGGCACAAAAAGCCATGCAAGAGAACTTGTTATAAGTGAAAGTAAAGTAAAAGCAAAGTGAGGCTTAAGCAGAGAGCACCCTCAAGAGAAAGAGTGGGCCATCTTCAGCAGAGAATGACAAAGGAGACAATGCTGTCTCCAAATTTATTATTGTTTGATGTTTACCAGGAGAACTGGGAACCACCTTCTGTACTCTTTGCCAATCAGGTGTTCAACTCCTCCTTCATGTTGGGCAGTGGAGTTTTTGACATACCAGACCACCTACATACACTGACTCTTTGCATTCACTGGCTCTCTCTGGAACTGTCATGGTGGCCATCCTATTTAGGAGGCTTCATCTACAAGTCAATCCCATATAAATGTGGGCACTGGGGTCAAGAGCTGGTCAGAAGTTACCATAGTGCACCTGCACTACTAAAGGAATCTTCCTTCCCAGACAAGTGGAAGCACCTCTAGCCATAATTCCTAGCTTCACATCTACATCAATGGACCCTGTCAAGAGTTAGTCCCATTAATTCTTTTCTTTTGACATATTTTCCCATTATCTCCTTTGCTTCTATTTATTTTCTACAAATTAACTACCACCCTTTGCTTTCTTGTCCACTTTGAAAGTAGTTTAAAGAGGACCCTAAAGTAATTTAAAGAACACTTGTGACCTTTCCATGTATTTCACTGCTCATTGCTAGCTACTCCCTAACATTGTGAACTTATCAAATTAATCAGAAGTGCATGGATTCATAGGTCTTTCAACCCCATATCAGAAAAACCAGGCCCATGAACTTATAGAAAATACCAGACCACCAAAGAAGAAACCCCCTCACCAGAGACCCATAAAATGAAGTACTCCAGGACTGGACACATTGGCAAACTGACCCTGTCACCTGGTCACTCATTAAGAGCCTTGTCCAGGAAAATTGTACACAGTGACTAATTTCTGATTCTCTGTCCTAGGGCTTCAGCATGGCATGGTTTCTCTTACATGTGACAACCATGCACAGCCCATTTCAAGCTGACATCTGAAGCTAACACTGTGAAACTGCCATCCCTCTGGACCCTGTCCTAGAATAAGTTCTACACTTTGACACCTCTGTGCCCCAAACAAATTTCTTAGGCTGGTTTCTCATCTTATCTGACCACCTGCACTGACTCTTTGCATTCATATCTGCTCTCTGTCTTTGCTCTCTGTCTCCTGAGCTTCTGTGGCTACCTTAGCCCTTTCTTAGCCTTTCTGATATATACACATATATGTGTGTAGTGTGTATATATACACACACGTGTGTGTGTGTGTGTGTGTGTGTGTGAGAGAGAGAGAGAGAGAGAGAGAGAGAGAGAGAGAGATGTTTGGCTTGAGTGTTATACATGTTAATGGTTTAGTTTGGAATTGAAGAACTTGTGATTGCTTGGCTTAGGACTATCAGGTGACTCATGAGTATTCAGTGAATTTCAGCTGCTAAAAGTGGTGTAGCTCATTAATTTACTGTTATTCAATAAATTCTGACATTGTGGAAAGACACATATGTGCTGGGTCTATGTTAACAACACAGCTCACTCATGACATTGGCTTTCTTTAGTGCCAAACTTTAAACTTAGCTCTGGCTTTCATGCGAACTATGTTCAGGTTTGGAGGTCCTAACTCAATACCTCTACAGTTCCTATCTCCTCCCCAGTTTCCAGGATGGGGCAGGAAACATCCATCCAGTTATATAACACTCAGGGGATCTAGGGAAGTTACAAATTTTCAAGTTTACAAACCTAAAAACTTCAAAGCTCCATTGAATTGATGTTGAAGAGATGTAAGGTCTTTCCTATAAAGTCAAACATACTAAGAATCTCATTCCTTACCCAAGAGAAATGAAAACACAGGTTCCCACAAAGACCTACCAATATGGGAATGTGTATAGATGTTTTGTTCATAATTGACCAAAACAACTGGTGAATACAGAAATAAATTGTGTCACCTTCGTACAACTTCGGAATAAAAAAGAATTACTGACACACATAGCACTGTGAATAAATCACAAATACATGTTGCTAAGATGAGGAAGCTAGGATCAAATGACACATATGGTGTGATTTCATTTATATGACATTCTGGAATTTGCACAACCATACACACAAAAATTAGATAAAGTCAGTGAGTGTCAGAGGTTGAGAGGGGGTGAGGGGTGAGAGATGAGGGCTTTTCTGCAAAGGGGCTCAAGAAACTTTCTGAAGTGATGGAAATAATCTAATTAATCTCAGCCACCAAAAGGAATCAAATGGCACATTCAAACTCAGTGAATTTGACTGAATGTAATTAGACCTTAATAAGTATGGGTTACAAAGTGGGTGG